AAAAGAAAAGAAAGGTTTCAGTTATTATTATTGTTGTTTTTTTTTTTTTCTTAGGTGCAGGCGTCCCGGTATGTGTCCAGAAACAGATATGGCCAAATCCAGACCGCTGTTCTGACATTCCGCAACCCTGGAAGAAACAAAGCAGCACCATCACAGCCCATTAAACCACCAGTCCCCCTGACGTCAGAAACCTCGGGGGTACCGGTAGTCCCCCTGACATCAGAAACCTCAGGGGTACGGACAGTATAGAGTGGAAAACCGGTCGGGCCTGAAAAAATGGAATTTGCGGAAATGCACCGAATCGGCGTGGCAAATATTTGACGGTCAAAATTAATTTTTATTTATTTTTTCCTGATATTTTTCCCTGAAAGATGACCTGATCTACGGACCCTCAAATTTGCAGACCTTTTGATGAATTCTTCTTAGCACAAAAAATCGGCAAAGTTGTGGCTTGCAAATGGCGGGATTGGACCTGCCAGTGACGAACGCTGGTCGGCGCCCCTCCGTCCAACTCGGCCCTAGCTCACCGGGCAGAGACAACCCAGCCCTAGCTCGCCGGACCAAGGGGTGATGGTTTAAAGCGAAAAAATTCACGCAGTTATTATTTTCATTGTGGTGGGTAGACATCTGCATTTTTTTTATATATATTATACATGTGCAGCATTTGGATCATTGTTTTTTTCTTTCCCCCAAAAGAAGAAGCTCAGGACCAAAGTCCCACTAGCAAAAAGGATAGAATCGAGCTCCTGAATCTGGATTTGTTTTAAGCAGAGATGCAGAAAAGCAGTTCAATCTTGATTTCCTGCACATCTCCACAAACTCGTCCAGATTCAGGCATTCTATCCAATCCTCTTCCCTAACGGGACCACTTCCCAGGTAACTTTATAAGTTTATATTCCTCCAGATCCAGTGCCCAAAGCAAATATACAGTTCATCAAATGCACTGTTCGTAGGTCCCCCAATCTTTTCTTAAAAAAAAAAAAAAAAAAAAAATCTTCTAATGGTTGTCTGATGGCTGCTTCGTTATTTCTGCGAATGAGGTCTCTATTTCTTTTTGTCTTTCGTGCCTTTCTCCTATTTTCCCCCCAGCGCTACTCCTTAATGAGGTCTCTATTTCTTTTTGGCTTTGGGCCTTTCCCCTATTTTTCTCTGCCCAAGAAATTGTAATGAACCTGCCGAACGCATTGCACTGATGTTACACGTAAGAAAAAAAAAAAAAAAAAAAAAAAAAAGAAGAAGAAGAAAAAAAGANAAGAAAAAAAAAAAAAAAAAAAAAAAAAAGAAGAAGAAGAAAAAAAGATGTCACATTTGTTTGGGCATGAGCCTAGCCCAATGCTACAGTAGTGGGGTCCAGGAGGTTCAGGAGGTTGAACCCCGACAGTCTGTCGAGGACGAATTTGACTTATGGATAAGGACTCGCCACGTCACCCAGAGGTAGTGTAGCATATCAGAAAGAGAAATGCACTGACAGCCTAGGATCTAGCAATGACGAAAGTGGCAACAACCAGCAGCATAGGTGCAGCATTCACAAGATGTCAATGTGCATGATGCAAAGAGCAACCCAACGAGAAATCAWCAACAACACATTCGTATCATTATCATCATGGGCTSTGAAGCAGCGCAGCGRAATATCTAGTAACCAAAGGACACGTGAACAGACAGACACGGATAAACTTCRGAAGGGCAAGACATCAGAAAGATTGCCCTTCCGCTCACACACATGGGGAGAGATCCATAGACATGCGAGAYAGAGAGGGGGGAGACATAGGCAWGCAAGTCTAACCCAAGTCTGATCTCCAAATGTCGTACACAGTCCAATCCCAGTGTAAGTCCGATCTGAATGTCATGTCCAATAAGGCAGAAGGCCGTGTTCAAACAATGTCTGCAGTTACCTCTATCTCTACTCTGAGAAGAAGAAGAAGAAGAAGAAGAAGAAGAACTTCGGAGGAGTAGGGGGAGAAGAGGAGAGGGGAAGAAGAAGAGGAAGAAGAAGAAGAAGAAGAAGAAGAAGAAGAAGAAAGTTGGGTGCTTTCTGCACTTACCTGGCGATGGTTGAACTTGCAGGTAAGTCCTTTTCTCTCTCTCTCTCTCTCTCTCTCTCTCTCTCTCTCTCTCTCTCTCTCTCTCTCTCTCTCTCTCTCTCTCACTCCACTACCCTCCTCGGCGCTGGACTCCTCCAGCGCTGTGCCTCATGGCCGATGAGCAGCGCAGCTGCAGTCTCGAGATAGCGCAGCAGGGAGTCTCCAAAATAGCGCAGCAGCCAAGTTCCTGAACCAGCATAACGCTGGATTTGTCCTGGTACCTTCTGTGTCCGAACTGGGCAATGGCCCAGCTTAAGTAGTGCTGGGCCAGGACGGAAAACCCACGGCCTGCGTTCTGGACCGTGCAGATCGAAACTCCGATCCACGGTCCAGATCGCAGGCCTCGAAAACTGGTTCAGTCCTTGGCCTAAAACGGCCTGCCTGGGTCCCTACCGGACGTCCAGGCCATGTCCAGGATTAATCTTCCTGGTACCTGGCTTCAAACCGGTCCTGTGCGGACGTACCCGGCCTCAACGTCGGCCTGGGTTCGAACAGGTCAAAATCTGTTCAAAAACAAAAGAAAAGGTCCAAACGTTTTTAGGAGCTCAGCCTCTGGGCCTGAATCTGGCCCTGGCCCTAGAAGCGTGTACCTGGCCACAAAACGGACAACAGTACACCCGTTAGAAAAACAGCAGCAAATAAATAAAATAAAGACTATAAAAATAATCTAAAGCTGGCGTTTTTCTGATGCAGGCCCAAGTAAAAATGCCATAGGGCCTTCAGGTTGCGGTGACGCGACCTGGGGGCCCTATTCCAACCTCGGGTCCCGTGAGGGGCCCGTGAGGGGCCCGTGTGTAGGCTTTCAGCATGTAGCACGCCCCCCTCCTTATGAAGGCGAGCCGGGGCGCGGGCAAAGCTGCTGATCCGATGGCGGAATGTTGCGAGGATGGCGAGGAGCTGGAGTGCTATGCGTAGTCTTCCCTTTGCTAAGATAGCGTGAGAGAACGGCGGGGGCTGTGGCCTGCAGTTCCGAACGCGTCAGCCAACRGTCAGCCTTGTGGCTGCAGTAGGAAAAGTGAAGTAGAAACTCTGTTTCTTTGTTGCCATGGCGCCGGTCGGTGATGCTGTAGCCCGCCTCCTGAAATCCGTCCATGGAAGGAGGGTCTTGCGTACGTCGACTGGGAAACTCGTCGGACTCCGCTGAAACAAAAGGAGCGAGTTTGGAATAGTGGAACACCGTGTGGACGGGCAAGTGAGGTGGCACCGCAATGCGGAATGAGGGTCCCTCTGGATCATCACCAGCTGCAGAGAGAATGCGCCAAGGCCCCATCCACTTGGGAAGAAGCTTGTGAGAGATGTCTTGCTCAAGGCTGGACTCCGCTGCGGAGACCCAAACCAGATCGCCGGCGCGGAACGGGCAAGGAAGGCGATTGCGGTTGGCTTGACGGCTCATCCGTATTTGCGTCTTCGACATCTGATCCCGTGCCTTGACAAGAAGCTCTTGCATGCGACGAAGGAACGCAAGATGGTCGTCGCTCTCGGCTGTGCGCGGCAAAGTAGCGTCCAGCGGCGATGAGATGGGTGAACCATGCTCAAACTCGAACGGCGACATCCCGATAGCCGGGTGGATCGATGAGTTGTAAGCCAACTCAACGTCTGGCAAGCGCTCAACCCAATCAGCCTGGTCGGGATGGATGAGAGTGCGGAGGACTTGAGCGGTCTGATGCGCCCTTTCCGTTGACCATCAGTTTGCGAGTGGCGAGCCGAACTCGGCTTCAAAGATGAGCCCCATCGCTTGACGAGGGCGACCCAAAAGTCGGAGAGAAAGCGAGTGTCCCGATCGCAAACGATCTCCTTGGGGTAGCCCTTGGAGCGAATCCAACCGGTGTATAAGACCTCGGCTAACTTCGGTGCCTTTGCGTGATAGCGGCAAGGCAAAAACATGGCGTACTTGGTGAGGCGGTCGACGACCGTGAGGATCCCATCAACGCCGGTCTTGTGCTTCGGGAAGGGGCCGGTGATATCCATAGCAATTGCTTCCCGTCGCCCAAGGGGTACTGGTAATGGGTGTAGCTCGCCGAACGGACGATGGTTGCGTGACTTGCAACGCCGACAGACTTCGCACGGCTCACAATAGCGGGTGGCGTCCTTGAGAAGGTCGGGCCAATAGAACCGTTGGCGAAGTCGGCCAAGCGTACGGTTGACACCAAAATGTCCGGAGGCGGGCGCATCGTGAAACTCACCAAGAAGCCGTGTGCGCAAGTGTGAATCATTCGGCACACAAAGAAGATCCTTACCCCGTGAATGCACAAGTAAGTAGCCCTCTTGGATCCGATAATGCGAAGGCACCGAATTCGGAGAGGAGCAATTCGCGTACTTGTCGTGAAAGTGAGGGTCGGCTTGATAGCCGCGGATGAAGCTCTCCCGCAAGTCGTCGTCGATCTCGAAGATAGAGAAGACTGCGGTGCAAAGATCCGGTCGCCATGAGAGGGCGTCCGCAAAACGGTTTGACTTCCCGGGAATGTGATCGGGGAAAAAGTCAAACTGGTCGATGAAAGCCATCCAACGGGCAATGGTATTGTTAATCGTGTYTTGYGACTTGTAGAATACCAACRGATTGTTATCCGTTACCCATCGGAATGCTTTCCRACCAAGGAGGAAATGTCGCCAACGCTTGAGGGCGTGGACGAAGGCAAGAAGCTCCTTCTTCCGTGCGTCRTMGATCGAATGCACGGGAGGTACTTTCTTGCTAAAGTACTCGRCCGGGTGCCAGTCCGTGCCATCGTGCTGCTCAAGGACGGCCCCAATGCCATAGCCCGACGCATCGGTAGTGACGCGCGTAGCTAGAAGCGGGTCATAAATATGTAACACCTCGGCGGACAAGAGTGCCGCTTTGAGTGTCTCAAAAGAATGGAGCGCGTTGTCGTCGAAGTCAAAAGGTTGCTCCTTGCTTTGTAACTTGCTTAGGTTGGCCGCAATCTTCGAGTAACCCTTGATAAAGCGCTGATAATAACCGGCCAAGCCGAGGAAGGATCGAACGTCCGTCACATTCTTCGGCTCAGGCCACTCCTGGATGGCTTGAATCTTGTCCACCAACAGACGAATGCCTTCCGGAGAGACAAAATGACCCAAGTATTCAAGCTCTTGCCGGACAAACTCGCATTTGTCGCGGTTAGCTTTGTACCGGGTTGACCAAAGAGTCTCTAGAACACGGCGAAGGTGCTTGAGATGCTCCTCTAGAGTTCAGCTATAAACGAGGATGTCGTCTAAGTAGACCAAAACGAAGTGGTCCAACATAGCGCGAAACTCGGTGGTCATGGCCGCCTGAAAGGTGGCCGGGGCATTGGTGAGGCCAAAAGGTATAACTACCCTCTCAAAATGCCCATATCGCGTCTTAAACGCGGTTTTGTACCGATCTTGCGGGCGGATGGAAATCTGATGGTAGCCCGACTTGAGGTCCAACTTCGAAAAGTACTTGGCGCCGCCCAACCGCTCAAGCAAATCGTCAATGCGAGGTCGAGGCCCCGCGTTCTTGATGGTTTGCGCGTTGAGGCGTCGGTAATCAATGCAAAGTCGAAGGTTTTTGTTCTTCTTCCGAACGAAGCGAACGGGCGCACCGTAAGGTGAGCTGCTAGGGCGGATCCAACCCTTGTCGAGTAGATCGTCGAGTTGCGCACGGAGAACCGTGAGCTCCTCCTCGGACATGCGATAAATGCATCCTTTCAGTGGCACGGCGCCGGCCTCAAGTATGATCTCGTGAGAGATTGGCCGGTCCGGGACTATACCGGAGGGTGTCTCAAAAACATCCGAAAACTCGTCTAACAACCGGGTCACACGGGGGTCAGAAGACACCTTTGTGGACGATGAATCGGTCGTCGGGACGGTTCGAAGCAAAGCGATGCCAATCTCTTCGACATGCTCGGAACGGCATGTGTCTTGAAAAGATTTGGCACTCACGACTTGGCACCTAATGGAAGAGCGAGGAGGAGGAATAGTACACGGGACCTCGGCGCCAGTTGCATCACGAATCGTGAGCGTGCGTCGATGGAAATTGACCGTGTGGTCCGCGCTAGAAAGCCAAGGCATCCCCGAAATGACATCGAAGTCGGTGTCCAACACGTCAAAAGTGACGGGTTCACATGCGTGCGGTGCAAAGTACAYCGGGACAGCMGAGATGTAACGGTCTAAAAGTTGTTTCGTCTTACCGTCGGCAAGAGCGACCATCGTCGTATGTGACTTCCTCCGTACTTGTGCGCCAAGGCCAGCCCGAGTCATGAACGACTGGTTGATGAAGTTGCGAGTTGTGCCGCAATCTAGCAAAGCGTTGCAGGCCGCTTGCCCAATCTGAATGCGAACGTAGAGCAACGGTGCGTTGTTTTCTTCGTACCGTTGCAAGACAAACTCGCGCGCCACCTTGGCAACGTAGCCAAGCATGTCCCCCACCGCGACTTCGTTTACCGTCGGCGAAGTTGGTGGTGCATGGAAGGAAAGATACTCGTGTAAGAGGGCGCATAGGGCTGCACTTTGCGGTCCTGGAAGGTTGCCCGTCGTAGGGAGAGGAATCCAAGCGAAGTCCTCGGGCGTGAGCGGGTTCAAAGCCTCCTCGTTGAACATGCTTGCCGAATCCCTTGATGAAGATGAACTGGCGGAAGAACCTTCGGACGGTGAGAAAACCGCACATGTATCTTGTCCTTGAGAAGCATCCAGTGAAGGAATGAGCCGGGCAGCGAAGTCTTCGAACGAAAGTGGAAGACTCCCGACATCCGCATATGCCTCGGAAGAAAGGGCGGTCGTGTGCACAACCGCTTCCGATGGCGTCGAGGGAGGTGTCGAGTCACCCTCGGCGGCGCCTACTTTCCCTGACGGGGTTTCCCCTTGGTGGGGCAATGTGCAGCATCGTGGATGGTGCTGTTGCACCAAAGGCAGTAACGGTACTTGAGTCTCGTGCGATAAGAATTCGCCGAGAGTCCGTATTGTGCCCAAGGTTCGTCGGCGGCTGATCCGGTGCTCGGTGTAGAGGTGGACTGATTCTTCGTCTTGTCGCGGCCGTGATTGTTGCGCGGCCGGCCACCATCCCGGGCAGCTGCCAACACTTCACCCTCGTTTGTTGTTGCAGCCTCGGTAGAAGTAATGCAAGCCACCTTTGGCTTGGGCTGGGTGCCGCTCGTCGTCACGGAAGATCGGTCGGCGTTGCGGGCTTCGATATTCGTGAGAATGATCTGTGACGCGGTGCTGAAAAGCTTGTCGGATGTGTCGAGTGTCTCTGCAAACTGCCTCAGCGCGTTTTGCAGAGCTGGACACGAGCGCATGATAAACAAGTGCTTAATGGCGCGAAAAGCAAGTGGCAGGTCAGGTGTGGAGGCGAGTCTTTGGAACTCGGTAATCCAGTCCTGACTGAGCAGCGTGTTCTGATGGAGCTTGTTGAGCTTGTCCATCGCTTGCAGGTCGGGCGGCTCCACTTGGAATCGCTTGTGCCAGGCGTCAGTCAACTCCTGCCAAGTGAGCTTGGTGTGCAGTTCCGACACTGCTACGCCATGGCTGGTCAAGATGTTGT